TTTCATTACTTTTAATGGTTCTGCAGGCTTGGGATTATGATTGCTCTACTCTCCTTTTAATAAATTCACTGTAGCTGCTGTTAAGTGCTCAGTAAATGAAAAACCAGCCATTTTCAAAGACGCGGCAAAAAAGAGTGTGGGAAGAGCTATGTCTTATTATTGAGGAATTAGAGCGACTGTTGTTAAGTTTTGTTTCTATTTTCTTTAAGGAAATGTGGCATTTTTGCTTGCATAAACTTTTGCAGCTGTCAGTTTCTAACTGTAGGATTATTGTCAGGAATAACATATCTCCACTGTGTCTTGGCATGGGGTCCTTGGAGCTTACCAAATAGGGGAGAACTCTTAAAGCTAGAAATCAATACTACAGCAGGATTTAGACAATTTAGCAAAATATATGACAGTACTTTAGGTGAAGAATAACTACAACAGCAAGTTAGCCCTATGGAATTGCTCAAGTGCAATCTATGGCGCTTCTCTAACACTTTTGGCAGAAAATCAGAGGACTTAATATGGCAGGCGCAGGAGGCCCTACTGCTAGAGCAGTGGTTCAAGTTGGATAAAAATGCAATTTTAAACGTCAAAAGCATCTTCAGCTACTCGGTGAGAAATAGGGCTGGTTTCGTTATTTCCCCACCTGCACCTCAACCCCATCATTTGTCATATACCATTTTTTGCCAGCACTGTTCACTCACTGAAACTAAAATTTGGATCCAGAGTCACTCCTTGGAAGGGCTCCTTCTGTTTGCGGAAGGGTCTTTGATGCAGCAGACCTTCTCAATGGCTGTAGGTAAAAGGTAAAGGAATCCCTGACCATTAGGTCCAGTTGTGACCGACTCTGGGGTTGCGGCGCTCATCTCGCTTTACTGGCCGAGGGAGCCAGTGTACAGCTTCCGGGTCATGTGGCCAGCATGACTAAGCCGCTTCTGGCAAACCAGAACAGCACATAGAAACGCCGTTTACCTTCCCGCTGGAGCGGTACCTATTTATTTACTTGCACTTTGACGTGCTTTCGAACTGCTAGGTGGGCAGGAGCAGGGACCAAGCAATGGGAGCTCACCCCGTTGTGGGGATTTGAACTGCTGACCTTCTGATCGGCAAGTCCTAGGCTCTGTGGTTTAACCCACAGCGCCACCCATGTCCCTTAATGGCTGTGGGGGAAGGAAGTAATTTTCGCCAATCCCTCTTACAACCTCTGTGCCATCTTCCACACTCTCCAGGAGGGTCTCCCAACCCTTCAGAGCAGATTCTTGGGAGACTGCAGGGCAAAGGAGGGACATCTGAAGGCAGGTCTGTTTAGGGAAGTTTTTAAGGATTTATGTTTCTGTTATGTTTTTAGATATGTTGTAAGCCGCCCAGAGAAACCCAGCCAGATGGGTGGGGAATAAATAATGAAATAATAATAATAATAATAATAATAATAGTCAAAAATTGCCCCTTCACATGCTAAACCCCTGATTTCCCCCTCCCATTTTGGAAATGGGAAAAATAAAATAATTTAAACTTGACACAACACTGAGGTGTGGCAAAGTCCAAGCATCTGGATAGGGATTCAGATCACCCCTCCCAGAAATTATTGATTTCTGGGGCCACCTCAGTTCTTTGGGTTTGGGAAGCCCAATTGGAAGATGAGGCAAGCAGTATGGTAGTAAAGATTAGCTCAATCGGCAAAGCATGAGACTCTTAATATCAGGGGTGTGGGTTTGAGCCCTGCATCGGGCAAAAGATTCCTCAATTGCAGGGGGTTGGACTAGATGACCCTCGGGATCCCTTCCAACTCTACAAGTCAATGATATTCTGATTCTGTGTTTGCTTGACGTACTGATTTGAAATAAAATGATATGTTAAAGTTAATTCTGTGCACATTCAGGGGTGTGATGAATCTTGGAAAAAAGGATTTTGGCCAGCCCTGCAAGCAGCTTCTATATGAAAGATCGTTCCAGTCTTAATTTTGCTGTTTCTTATGTGTGCCACTAGCCTTGAAGTCAAGGTACTGATCCCTCAAATCAAAGCATTGATGAGAAATGAAACTATAGCAACATTGTAGACCTACTATTCTTTTTGTAAATCCCGGAGTATGGTGCATATATATTAAAGAATCCAGATTCCACAGATGATAGCTTTCTGGAACAACTTGTACTGAACTCCTTAAGGGGAGAGACAGACTTTGATTTAGCCCTAAGTGAAGCTGAGGATGTGGTCCAAGATATAAGTGCATTTGAGACTCTGGAGGGTAACAAATATAATGTAGTCAAATTCAACTGCATTATATAGTAGTTGAATTCCTTCGCAGTAACATTGAACTTAAAATGGGCAGCTATGCTTGAAATGAGGAGACCAGTTAAAAGGGTCAAGGATTAAAAGGTATCCAGCTTTGGCTCCAGTTAGTCAACCTTTCCCAAGTGGATGCCATCCAGTGTTGTTTTTTTTTACTCAAAGCCTCATCATCCCTGACCACTGTCTGTGCTGGCTGGGGCTGCTGGAAGTTGTAGTGCAAAGCATGGAAGAGACTGCTGTGACCCAGTGCATGTTTTTGTCAAGTGGAGCACTGGATTAAGCTCTTGTAAGGCTTGTCAATGTAATATGAAGCATTTTCAAGAAGTTATTAGTTTGCGACAAGGTAATATTGAAAATATCGCTTGCTGACAGCAGCCAGACCTCTAGATCAGAGATGTTTTATCTGTACAGTGCTATGAAATAGTTGTGTAAGTTGTTTTCTCGGTAGTTCTATTCTTTATGCTGTTGAGGATGTGAATTGTCCTTCAGATGAATTCTGCTACGCTTTTCAAATCTTTCTTTCTTCAGTCTACATCTAATCAGGAACTTCCAAGTTCACTTTGAAATTTTGCCTACAGCAAAATTCAGTGGCAACTCTAGCTTTTATGAAAAGTGCATGGAATTTTCAAACCTATTCTGTGGCTGCCATGTGTCTTCTTTTTCCAGGACACGTCCTTTTTTTCATGGGTAGAGTTGTCCTAGTGATCCATAGTTAAAAGTAGAAGTCGGCAAATGTGTCCTCTTTTTTGCTCTTCAAAATGTGGCAACCCTAATTCAAACATAGGACATATGCCTCAAATAAATCACTAGGAAAGACGTTTCCTTGAAGATATTCAGATAGGTTTTATGATACCTGTTAGAGTCTCTAAACAATATGACAGTAAGTGAAAGCTGAATTTGGTTATTTATTACAGGAACTGTAGTATTGTGAAATTCCTGAAGTTCTGACAAATGAAGAATTACAGTAGTGTGAACATAACTGATTCTTACTATCTGTGAGATGAAGTGAGAACTCATTTTGGAGAAGCAAGCCATTATACTAATTGCAACATGAGGTCCATTCGCAAGTCAGCAAGACTTTATATACAGTCCTTTTTCTCCACTGCATCTGTCAAACAGGATAGTATAATGGATATAATATTAGTGCTAGGCAAGGTGTTGAGAGAGCTGTTAATATTGTCATTCCTTCATTGATCCAGAGCCTTTAGAAATAAAAGAAAGGTGTAAGATCTCCAATTGGGTAAGACAAAACGTTTGTCCCTGTCAATATACTCATGTACACACATGAATGCATTTCTGTCTTTTATTTATATACCTCAGTTTTGTGGAGTCATCCTATATGTCTCTCTCATCTTTTCAGTACAGATTAGGCAGACATTACAGGGGAGCAAAAGGAAATGCAAATGTTGTCATCTAAATTAAGCCATAGCCTAAGTCAAATTGATTACAGTGTGGGAGTTAAGCACATGTTTAATTTTTCACATGGAAATCTATAGGTGTTAAAAGACATCCTCAAAGCAGAATGGACATGTGAATGAAAAAAATTCCAAAAATGCTTATTTGTATGAATTCGAAAGAGAGCTATCGAAGAAGAAGAAGAAGAAGAAGAAGAAGAAGAAGAAGAAGAAGAAGAAGAAGAGGAAGCAGCAGCAACAGCAACAGCAGCTTATTGGCATAAATACATTCAGAATGCTATAAAAATGATGGATATGGCAAATAAAAATAGATGTAAAAGTAGAAAAATAAAACACAGATACAGAGGAGGAGTAAAGAAACCAAACCCAAAAAGCAAACAAACTACTGAAAATACATTCAGTTGTTGCATATGAAAAGAAAAAGGTGGATCAATTCAGTTCTTAATAAAACCTCTCCACATACTTGCCTGTAGAGCAAGGGGTTTAGTGGGCTGTTCAGTTAAGTTAGCATAGGAGATAAATTTATACCATATCGAGTAAAAATGATCCATTTTCGATGAGCCATTAAGGACTTTCCATTTATATGTCGTGTTCTGACAATGCAATGTCCCATACTTTCACTAGCCACTCTTTCTGAGAAGCAGGTGATTTGGACTTTCAATGGACAGCCACTGTCAATCTGGCTGCCGCAGGAAGCATGAGCACAAGGGATTATGCATGATAGATGAGTTGGTCCCACACTCCAAGGATTCTTCTTCTTCTTTGTAGCCGAGTAAGATTGTCTTCCATAAACACAGTTTTAACAATGAGTCCATAAGTGACTGTGGAGGCCAATTCTGGATCCACATGTCCTTCCACAGTGGAGACATAGGTTCCCAGGTGAGAGTTGATCACAGTGTGGATTTGCCAAGTGTGCCTTCCTCTTAGCACGTTTCTCCCTTGCGTTCTGAGTTCAAGAGTCCATGACACCTTTGGTAAAGGCTGTTCTCCAACTGGAACGCTCGCAGGCCAGTGTTTCCCCATTGTCGGTGTTTATACTACATTTTTTTAGATTTGCCTTGAGCTGGATTTCGACACGGTAAATCATATTGCCCTGTGGACTGTCCTTCTGAAAATTGGCTGGCCAGATAAATTTGTAAACATCATTCGGCTCCTCCATGATAATATGACAGCAACAATCGCAGATAACAATGGCTCTGAAAGTGAACCATTCACAGTGGGATCAGGTGTTAAACAGGGTTGTGTTATTGCCCCAACTCCATTCATTCTTTTCATTGCCATAATCCTACACTTTGTCAAAGGGAAACTCCCCACTGGGGTAGAAATCATGGAAAGCTCTTCAATCTGAGCAGGCTGAAAGCAAAGAGTAAGGTTACCGTAACTTCTGTCATGGAGCTTCAGTATGCTGATGACAACGTCGTGTGTGCACACTCAGAGGATGACCTCCAAACCATCCTAAATATCTTCACAGAAGCTTACGACAAGTTTGGCCTGTTGCTCAACATCCAAAAAACCAAAGTGCTATACCAACAAGTACAAAATAACTCCTCTGCTGTGCCACAAATCCAACTCAACGGTGTAACGTTGGAAAATGTCGATCACTTCTCCTACCTAGGCAGTTATCTTTCCACAAGGGCCAACTCCAAGGATAGGAGTGCCAAAGCACAGGGGACACTGTGCCTTGAGGCTCAGAGGTATGTGTGGGTCTTTATGTAGCCAAATTGGTACCATCCACACACCAGAGGGGGACACTGAGGCTTGGAGAAGTACATAATAGCTTTAGGATGTGAGAATCCCCCAAAACAACCTAATGAGGACTGAATAAGTTAGTCTGGAACCTTCTAATGGCAGCAGAAATATTGAAGGAAATAAATGGACAAATAATGAGGTACTGTACCGAAAATGTGGTTACCAAAGTGTGGGATTATTACAGGGTTTTTTAGGATGACTAGATATATTTATTTAAGGCAGAGATAGGGGAACCTCTCCAGTTCAGGGGTGAGGAGCCTTTTGGACCTGGTGAGCCGGACCTTTGTTTCCACCCCCTCCCACCTTGTGGGCCAAATTTGACGTGTCAATCACCTAATATCATTATGATGTCAAGGACTGACAGGTGGGTAGCCTTCCCCACCTGTCAAAGTTGGCCCACAGAGGTTGGTGGGATAAATGTCCGGCCCCCTGCTAAGGCCAGCCGTTCTCAAGCATCTGACCGTCAGCTCGTTGTCAGGCATTTGAGTGCAAAACACTTTGCAGGCCCTCTGCTCAGCTCTTCCAAAAGGCAGAACTTGGGGCTTGCAAAGCACTTTGCACAGCACTTCCAAAGCCCCAGCCATCATTTTGGGTGGTCAAAAAACTTCATGCAGATGGAAACAAGTAAACATTTTTTTTAAAAAAAAATTGTGTTTGATTAGTCTTTTGGCTATAGATGGGTAGGTGTAATCAATACATGTAATCAAGAATATATGAAAGCGGCTGCTTTGGGTTGATCATACCTCCGAGAAACAGTTATTCACCACAAATAAAAGGACTTAAAATCTGGAGCATTTTGCCTTCGTTGGATGCCACAAGTTCCTATCTTGACATTGCTCAGCACTCACTGTATTAGTCATGAGAAACCGAGGGAATGACACTGCAGATCTTTCTAAGAAATCAGAAGCATTAAAACAGAAAAGGCTCTCAGAATGCTATTAAACAAGTGCAGGTGATAGTAGAAAAGCAACATCAATGGCACTTGAATAATAAAAAATTGTGTTCTGCAGTATGTTTGAACTTCACTCCGGGAATAGTGAGCGCCTTTGTGAGAATTTGTATACCAGAAGCAGCCTGTCCTGTCCTGATTCTGAAGGAGGCGGGTGAGGGCAGCTAGGTTTGGAACTATACAGAAACAAACAAACCTAAAAATCAAAAGGGAAAAATCTGTGACACAACCACAATATTCTAGCCTATGTACTTTAGTCTTCACATGCAGGTCTTCAGCAAATCCAATGTATAGATGTTTGGAGAGGCTTGTCTGGGTGGGTTGTGCAGGCA